AAAAAAAAAAAAAAAAAAAAAAAAAAAAACATTGAAATTATATTATATAAAATCTAAAAGAGATAAAAGAAAATTAACATTATGATACATGATAAAGAAAAAGTAGTTGATGCATTATAGTAATAAGTTTGTGGTTAATTTTATCTACTACAACGTTCAATTGTAATATTATGATCTCATCATTCTCTTGTGGAAAAAAAAACATTTTTGATATGGACAAAAATTAAGATAATTGCCCATTATGCTATTTCTATTTATAAATTTTTTACTGTAAAATTGTAAATTTATTAAAATACTTATTATTATTTTTATTTTTATTATTGCATGAAATTAATGAGAACTGTAATATATTAAAGTACTTATTTTTCCAGGAAATCGGTGAAAACGATAATTCAATGTAATTTTTAGAAATAAAAATTGACAAACTTTTTTGTAAAGTAATACGAAAAGTAAAAATAAATTATACTATATAAAATATATTAAAAACATATTATTGCGAAATTAATATTTTGATATATGATAAGGAAAAAGTAGTGGATTCATTTAATAAGTTGTATTTAACTTTATCACTACAACATTCAGTTGCGATAATATACTCTCATCAATCTCTCATTTTAAAAAAAAAGATTTGTTTATAAACAAAAGTTAAACAATAATTGACACATTATGCTACTTTTATTATAAAATTTTTAGCTATATAATTGTGTATTTATTATAAAAATTAAGCTGTATAATTGTGTATTTATTATAAAAATTAAGCGTTGTCACTTTTCACCAACTTTTATGTAACCTCAAATTTAAGATCAAATAAAATAAATAAAGCAAATGGTTATTAGATATATTCAATCAAAATGATCATTTTTGTCTTCTGAGTCAAAACTATATAAATACTTATTTTAACTCTCTTGTTGTTGTCGAGACCCCTCACTCTTTATGTTACCATTTTCTATTTTTTTTTACTCAAGTTAAGGTTATTCAACATTTTTTAGATCTATTTCATATGGATATGATATTTTTTCTTGAAAAATACATCTCTTTTAGTCGAATAATTATGTTATATATGATAAATATAACATCATTATTTTTTATTTCACTCTATTTTTATTTTATTTATTATTTAAAAAATATATAATAAAATAAAATAAACAAAGTGTGAAAATTGGAGGTCTAAGTTCACATCTATACTTATATTAAAAGCTATACTATTTACTAAATGTAGTATGTAGAATAGTCAACTCTAATTAATGATTTGCTATTTTTATCAAGCATTTAATTAATGCATCTAATATTTTTGGTATACAAATAAAATTAACATTTAATTCGTTCCTAAAATATTGGGTATGCAATATTAATTTAGGAATATCCATGTAGTTCCTAAAATGTTGGTATGCAATACGTAAAAGAAGATTTTTTAATTTTTTAAATATAAAATATTGCAACACGTAAAATTATTTCAGTTATTTTTTTTATTTTATTTTACATATAAAATCTAATCAATATTTTATGCATCCTACAAAATTGGATTTAGTTTAATTCTCCATACAATTGGTTGTAGCTTTTTCAGTTGTACTTTTTTTATTTATTTATTTTACACTTTTAAATTAATGAAGCTCTCCGAAAATACCAAATCAAATGATTTATGAAAGATTTTTTTTTTTTTTACAATTTTAAATCTATATAACCAGCTTTAAAAACTCATCGCATAGATATGGACGAGTTTAAGAAAATTTCATAACCCATCTTATAAAATTCCATCCATCTCCACGAGTAAAAAAAAAAAAATCACATCCCTCACTTTAAAGGTAAATAAATAAAAGTCTAATTACTACTATAAATCCATTATCTATATAGATTTTTCAAAAATCTAAATTTCACCTGTCTAATTACTAATATTTTAGATACTTTTAAATATTATTTGTATAATCTTTTTACACATTTGTTCTCTCTATATATATACATATATGGAGGTTAAATGAAGAATATTTAGACATATTTTCCTCACGGGTAATTTAGAAAAATTTAGGTAGCTTCAAACATTATTTGTGAATAATATAGAATATTTGTATTATATCCCATCAAATCGGTTTAACAAAAAAAATTTCATAACATCTGATAAGTAAAAAAAAGTACGTAAAATCTTTACTAAATAAAAAAGGCTTTATTTATTATCTAATTTATTATCTATTTGTATGGAAATCTGTTCTGATTTTATAGTACATACTACAAATTGTGCACTCGTGTTCAGGAGCTACTTAACGAGCAAGCTCTGTGGAAATAACTCATTTAGTGCTTCTGTCCCGTGCATACGGTATGTATTTGTATTACACATACTAGAAAATTGTGCACCATGTGCATCGCACGGACTCTGTACTAATAAATGACCTTAAAATTGTGCACCCCGTGCATCACCCGTGTTCACATTTTGGCCTATTACAGGTCACGTACTATATATATCTCGTACATTTTTCTTTATTCATTTATATAATTATAAGACTTGATAAATGACCTTAATTGTGTGTACTTCGTGCATCGCACGAGATCTGTACTAGTTTTTGTTAAAAAGGATGACACGTTGTCTTGACTAACTCTTATTTCAGCTCACATAAGAGTTTGTGGATGATTAGATATTTTACAATTTAAATTACTTGTTTTGGGATGATGTACTCAATACAAATAAATTAATGATCACTTGTAATTTCTTATAATTATATAAAGATATAAAATTATACAATATTAGATTAATAAGAGATGATTACATATTTTCTTAATGTGTATGTAAATTCCATCAATATCCTCCCTATATATAATTCTCGAATGCGCTGAGCCTAGTGGCTGCTTCTGGTGCTTCGAAATCCTAGTTGGCGAAGAATCATGCTTCGTAATTAGGTTTGGACAAATAATATTGATATATTAATAATTAATAATCTAGGTTCGAATATTCCATAAATATTATTTATCTAACTTAGGTATTTTAATATCACTTGTACTAATATAACCCTTTAATTATTTGTAATTTTACATAGTGAGTCACTAAGTGACTAATATATCCCTGACTTTGATTTGTTTCCTTCAATTAGCTATTGAATTGTAAATGTATTTTAAAAGTTGATAACTTTTGTATTTCTTATCGATTATACATTTATTATATATCAAATTAATCATCTTTTGATGATCTTCGATTTGACATCCATATTGTATATATGAAATAAATAAATTATACTTATCTTTATAATAATAAAAAATAATAATATATATTAAAATTCATTAAAAAAATAAAATTATTTATCAATTGATATATTTATTTATAATGTAGTTATATGTTGT